AAAGGCGAGGCTCACCACCCATTTATCCCTCTGCCTTTCAATTAGCCCCACATGTGATTATTGGCCAGGTTGGCACAATTAACTAACTCAGCTCCCATAGAGGATTGCCCTTGGAAATCCCATAGCGCAGCTCCACTCCGCCCTGCACTGACTCTTAAGAGTCAACCCGAAGGCAATGGGCTCAGGTCTGTTTTTTGAGGGGGGTGGAGTTGTACAAATTCTAGATTGGTGGCAGATCAATCCGTCACAGATACAGGAGGGACAACAGAAGCAACAATGGGAGCAAGGAGTTTGGGTTGTTGGCGGGGAGGGGGCGGTTGGCGAGTCGGGTTAGACTCGGTGGCAGTGGGTTGGGTTGGGTTGGCTTGGTTACGGGCCAGTCCTTCAGTGCAGGAGGATAACGAGGTCCCGTCCCTGCCTCCAAGTTCTCAGTCTGCAGGGGGAACAGTGTGTGCAAATGGATGACCTTCCCCCGAAGCAGCTGATGAGCAGTGAAGGAATCCCTGTAGTTTCCTGGAGAGCGGGGATGCTCTCAAGAGGAAGTGAGTGAGGGGAGGGGGTAGGGGTGACCCCACAGAGGGCCCTCCAAGGGCAAAGACCCACCCACGGAGCTTTGGGTGAATCATTTCCAGCGTCCCTCACCTCAGCCCAGGGGTAGCAGAGTCCGTGTACTGCGCCATCCTCCACCCTGAGCCGGAAGGCGTGACTGGAAAAGCATGTGCCCTGGCACCAAAGCACTAGTCCTCACTCAGAGGTCAGATGCCACAGTTCCTGGGGGTGGGGGGAATTTCTAACCACTCCATCCCTGGTGTTCTTGTCACATGACAGACCGGGATGGGAAAGCACAGGACAGGGCTAATGTCTCCAAGGATTGTGGGAAAGACCTGGGAGGCCCCCCAAAGTCCTCCATAAGGGGGCCAAGCCGCCCTTGACATTCTCTCTTGGACAGGAAAAGTCAGGGGCAAGGGAGGACAGTGAGGGCAGGGAAAGAGGACAGAATGTTGATCTGGGGGTGGGGTCGCCTAAACCAGCCATGAGGGAGAGGCCTGGCTTCCCTCCTTCCTTCCTCTTCCTCAGAGCCCTTGGACCCCCCCAGGCCCCTGTTTTCTCTGGGACACAGCTCCAGGTCTCCTGCCTGAGGACTGTGGACAGCGCCGAGAGCAGCCAGCGCTCATAGCCCAAGGGTATGCCTCATTGGAAGACACCTATTACTCGATGGGCTGCTAACGGCAAGGTCAGGGGTTTGAAACCACCAGCCGCACCTCCCGAGAAAGACAGGTTTCTACTCCTGGGATGAGCTACAGTCTCGGAAATTCACAGGGCCGAGGAGGGGGCGTGGCAGGGAGGGGAGCAGCTCTACCCTGTCCTATAGGGTCGCTATGTGTTGGAATCGACTTGTTGGCAGTGAGTTTGGTTTGGGGTTGTCACCAGTCTGAGGGGCCCTGGTGGCACGGTGAGTTATGCTGGGAGGTTGACACCCACCAGCGGCACTGCAGGGGAAAGATGAGGCTGTCTGCTCCTGTTTTTAGAATAAGTATAGTCTTGGAAAGTCTAGATAAGGCCTGCATTAGTTAGAATCAATGTGATGACGGTGGGTGTGGTGGGATCATCAGCCTTGCTGGTACAAGGCTGTGCAATGGGAACCTCCGGTTACGCCAAGGGACAGTGGTCTGATTGCTTAGCAGCCACAGAGCTACGATGATCCACAGACCCCCTTCCACCTTCACCTCACACGAATGCCCGTTCTCTAGATGGGAACCCAGAGGGAGCTTTCTTCTGATAGAAACAGTGAAGAGACAGGAAACCAATATTCGGATGAGAACAATAGAGTCACAGTGTTAAATAGTCAGATAAGAACAATGCAGCCACAATGTATCAGCCAAATGACATTTTATGCCACATGATCCAGGGTCTCCTAGAGGTCGGATTATTACCCTAAAACAACCCCTGGGCAAACAGAGGGCACAGAGTAAGGTTAAGAAGGTAGTCTGAAAATAAAAAGAAGAAGAAGAAGGTAGTCTAGAGAATGAGGATGGCAACAAATGTCCAAATGTGCTTGACACGATGAATGGATGGATGGATTGTGATAAGAGTTGTGTCCTGCTAATCCCACTGACGGGCTTCAGGCTCTAACCTCTTTGAATCTGGCCCTCTCTTGCGCATGTGAATACAGTGTCAGGAAACAGCTCCTAGAAGCCCCAGGAGGGAATTGGTTATGCGGATCATGTTTGTGAAGTGCTTAAAACAGTACCTGGTACCTAGTGAAGCTTTTTGTGAAAAATAACTAAATAAATAAACCCGTTATTTATAGAAGAGAATTCATTAACCTGGGACCGCGTGTTACCAGTGATCCAGATAAAGTAAAAGCAGGAGTTGTGTGGGGAGCTGAGAGTTTTCTCCACCCCACTGGGCAAGCAGGGGCTCCCCCTCAGGGGAAGGAGGGGAGAAGGTCCCATGGGTGAGTTAGGGGAGAGGGTTTTGTTCAGCAGAAGTGCGGGATGCACAGGAACGGATGCAAAGTCAGACCCGTGTCCCGTGAGTGCCCGTCTCCAGCAGCTTCTCCTAGTCAGGAGCCGTGAAACCCTCTGGGAGGAAAACCTTCCTCATCAGGTGTCAGACCTTCCAGTCCCTGACAAATGACGATAGTTACGTCCTTTATTTGATCTCTTCTTGGCCCCCGGGCACTGGTGTGACCCCTGCCTTCCCTGTTCAGCTCCGGCTCTTGACTTTAAAACAAAGGTGACGCCACTCTCACCACTGGTCATGAGCAACAGAAAAGTGGGTGAAGGGAGACGCCGGGCAGGGTAGGATAAGATAAAATAATAATTTATAAATTATCAAGGGTTCATGAGGGGGGGAGGGGGAAAAGGAAACCGAGGAGCTGATTCCAGGAACCCAAGCGGAAAGTGAGTTTTGAGAATGATGAGGGCAACGAATGTGTAAGTGTGCTTTACACAATTGATGTATGTGTGGATTGTGATAAGAGTTGTATGAGCCCCAATAAAAGGATTAAAAAACAACAACAACAACAAAGGTGAATACAGAATCCTCAGCCAGGTTTAGCCCAGGCGCTGCTGCTGGTCCCTGTCACCTGGGCTGGCTCCATCCATGTGGGTACAAACAACTGTCCCTACCCCCACTCCCACCCCTACCCCCACCCCGCGTCCTAGAGGACCCCCTTTTCGTTTCAGGAGCACCCGTTCGGTGATGGCCCCCTGAAACGGGAGCCTCCGCAAAATCACCCCTTTCCCGCCCCTTACCGTGGCTGCGCGAAGTCTGCAGACCCTGCGCTGCGGGGTGTAATCCCAAACCTCCGCCGAGCTGTTTACGCCTCTGAGTGCAGGACCAACACACTTGAGCCGGAATGGCTTGAACTTCACGGTGCCTGTGTGCTAATGGGCTATATTTGTACACGGATAACATGATCTGTAGACCATGTGCCGATAAACTATCTATTCTATGTGACTCAGCCGGCCGTGAGACAAAACAGATTTCGTCGGAGAGGGCGTGGCACCGTGCTAAAGCTCAGCCCACGGCCAGCTGGAGCCCTATAGCCCAGGATTATCTACAGGTGATTGACAGCTGGGGCCCTTTAGCCCAGGATAGCTACAGGTAATTGACAGATGGGGCCCTATAGCCGAGGATAGCTACAGGTAATTGACAGATGGGGCCCTATAGCCCAGGATAG